AAAATATGTTGACCTAACTTAAATAAAATAATTTTTTCCAGCAGAGTAAAGCAAAATCAAATATATTTAAGGTCTAAAACACAGTACAAAAGTCAAACTAATTCCTCAGTTTCCCATCTTTTTTTCTTCTTCCATCGTTCTAGATTAAACCGTGTCCAATTAATGTTTAAACCGAGCCTAAATCAAGCGTAAATCAGCATCTACAGATTTTGCCAAAATAACCTCGTATGGACCCACATCTCAGATGTATTCCAAGCAAGATAAAAGGTAGTAATTACTTTAAATGGCTAGTAGAGTAGTACTTTGGTGTTGGCAACCATCAACATTGTTCTCATCAGCAGTTCAGGAGCTGATGGCTTTCTAACATTTTCAACATTATACATGTTAAGAATTTCGCTTTGCACAACTCCATATTTGTGATGTTGATGGCTGAATGAATATCTCGGAGCATGCCGAAACATAAACCCATCACGTAAGAGAGATCGGAGAACACAATCATGGTGCATCTCTTGAGTACCTCGAACAACAAACATCTTCTTATAATGAAACCAGTTCTTGGCATATTATTTGCAAACTCCTATTAATTTGTTCACGGATGTTAACAACATTCCAAATGCAAGATATACAGTAATCTCAATAGATTTCAACCAACTAAAGCATAATCTGCATTAGGGAATGTGACAAGAAAGCCAACAGTGAATACATCACGCATTAATATATGTCTTCAATTAAATATCTAGAGAGAGTAGTTTACAAAAAAAAAACACATAGATTGATCTAATAATACTATAGATAAAAACATTTTCAACACACGAACATAATCACCCAATAGATAGGCAGACTACAATTTATGAATTGTGGAAGTAAAAGAAACATTGTAGAAAACATATTCATTCGCATATGACTAAATGTTATTTTGCGATTTTGATTACCAAAGTTTTGGATTGATTAAATATGGTATTCTATTTATGTTTAAGCTTTTTGTTTATCTCACTTTTATACATAGAGAGAAAATAATGAATCCACAAAATATGATTGGTTTAAATCTATTTACGAGAAGATCAATGACTCAAAATATTTATATACAAATTGATAAAATGAAGAAACCTCAAAATCTACTTTTTTAGCTGCAAATTTCTTAGATTTTAATGAGAATGGTATTAGACAAATGGATGCTTGATTGATTTGTACAATATTTGGTCAGCAATAAGCCTCTAGAAGACTTGTTAAGGTTTTTTCTTACAAAGATATTGTATATATATTTAAAAACAAGTTTATATAATCCGACGATGTATATCACATCAGGTAATGAGATTTATAATTATTTTACGCTTGGGCTATTTGAATATGAATCATTACGAGTCAAACTTACATTTTGAACTCAAGTCAAATAAAAATAAATATGAATATATAGAAAATCTTATAAGGATTACAATAAATGTTTATAAAATTTTGTAGTTGGATAGTGAAACTTAATTTAGCTAACTAAAAATTGAAATTGTTTATTGTTAGATAAATGAAGCTCATAGTTTAAGTGAATGGAACTTGAGATTGTTGATTGTTGGATTAGATAAGTTTAAAGATAAATTCAATAGAAAGTGAATAGAGCTTAAGGTTACATGATTGTGTCAAACTGTTAGGTTATGCTAGGTTTTATTTTATTGTTGAAGTGTTGATCAAAGTTTCATACTAGGATATTATCTTTGTTTATCTACTGAAATTTAAGTTGTTTGTTTGATTTAATTGTCTTTGTCTCTTTCTTCCCGGATTTATTATCATAATTTAACTTCTAACACATCTAGAAAATCACTCCACAATCATGATTATATATATTTTGCAGATCATTTAATAAGAATAGGATTAAAAGATGCAATCCTTATTATTTTTTTTCTCTTTTTTCTCATGAACAAAAACTATATATTTTTGGTGATTCTTGTGAATGGATTATTTTTGTCTATGTACTAGATGCTAATAAAGAAACAACAAAGATGATATATGTTCTAGTTGATACTTGAAGGTATATTTAAAATTTAAAACTAATAACTTACCAAAAAAACAATTCTTCAAATATTTTCAGAGTTTATCTTGATATTCAAGTAATTCGGGAGGTTTGAGATCACCACATGAATAGTGCTTAGCAAAGTTCTGTACAATGACCATATGTGAATAATATAAATAGTCCACTCCCTTTCTTGTTTTATGTTTTACCCCTATTTCATGGTAATATCTTTTATTTTGTTTTAATTGTGTCTAAAAAACTTTTTATTTCTATTTTTTCATCATGGATGTGCATTCCTTAACAGCTTCAAAGGTAAAAAAAAAAAGAAGTGAATTGTGCTTCTTTCTTTTACCAATTTCTAGATCAATCCAATGTCTAAGCTAGTTGAAATGGATCTATTGAAGAAATTAAATGGGAAAAGGGATATAACATGGTTCACATTAGACACAGTTGCTTAACACAGTTTTTATGAATGTTTATAAACAAGTGACATTGAAGCCACTAGTTTTGCTAATATGTGAATAATAACTTCACTCTAGTCTAGTTTAACATGTAGATGGGGACAAGGACGATAGACAAAGTGAGTAGCTCCCAGACATGATGTTTCAACATGATGAACGAATGAAACAGTAATTGATTTCACATGTTTGATTGCATCACTTTAGTTTGTTTTTAGTATTAGTGTGTAAAAATGACAACATGTATGCATCACATATATCGATCTTCTTCTATACATGAGAATAATATCCAACTCTGAACTCTCTATTCATACTTGAATTCAAGTAATGCGTTTCTTATGTTGTCAACTAATCCATATTGGATGCTTTTTTCAAAAAAGAAAATCAATATTTTGTCACAAATCAAGTAGGCAACATTCCAAGAAACACTGTTTATTTGCATGTGCGGTCTTCTGATTAGCACAGAATCATTAAATCTCTAGAAAAATACATCTGTACATGAACATTATACTACTGAAATGGTATATTTATTTTAGCTATTTTCTAAGAATTATTTATTCATGTGAATCACGACTATACGAAACGATTAACTTAAGTTTACTATAGAAGAATATTTTCCACTTTTTCTGGCAGATAACTTAATTTAATTGTTGTAAGAAAAAAAAACTTAATCTAGTTATTTTTTATCTTTATTCTTGCCAGCCTATAATATCCGATCTTTATAAATGATTATTCCCGACTAGTGCATCTACAAGAGTATAGCTATTAAGGGTCCGACTGGTTTCCCCGCTACCACCCGCAAACGCAGCTTTTGCGGTTGATGGCGGTTGCTAGCGTTTTGCAACAATCACAAGAACCGCTACAAATCGCTTCAAACCGCTCCCAACCTCTTAAAATCAAAAGCTGGTTTCAGCTAGCGTTTGCGTTTGCGGGCGATTACGAGTGGATAAAAAAACTAATTTTCTTTTAAATTTAAATTAAAATATAAAAATAAAAATAATATAACTAAAATTATATCTACCTTTTATTTTTTTTAATTTAAATTCACTAAAAATATCATAATCTATTATAAAAACTTTAAATCAAGAATTTTCACTATATTTTTCAATATTAAATATATAAATATATAAATATATATATAAAAATAGATAAATATATAAATATACATATATAAATAGATAAATAAATAAATATATAAATACATAAATATATAAATATATAAATATATAAATATATAAATATATAAATATATAAATATATAAATATATAAATATATAAATATATAAATATATAAATATATAAATATATAA